CTTCTATAGTTTATGTGTGTGATAGTGTGATGTGTATTTACGTAGAGTTCATAATGTCAATAAGTCACCGTATTCACAATCGGAATACAAAAATCGAAATTAGAAATTCAAATTCGGTTTTTCAAAATCGATGAATACATTTTCCGATATCAAAAATCAGCCACATCGCATTAACAAAAGAATATCATCATTAGCCTGTATAATAAATGAGTAAATATGCACAGGAAGCGATGGCGATGGTGTCATAGGTTAATGTATGCCACCTAAAAGCGAGTCCGAAACGAGAAAGGAAAGGAAGACGCACCACGACGACCGCGACGACGACGGCGTAGCGATAAGTGCGTATATTTGTTGCATTTGCATTGCATAGGCAGCAGAACACTCGATTGCGCTTGTTTCTCGGAAAACAGCGATAGAAATTTACAAGTAAAAGGTTATAGGGTTTTTCCGGGTCAGAACTTTGATCAACCAACCAGAAGGTTTCAGGTTCGGTACCCGCCTCGGAAAGCCTGATATCCAGCAGTAGTGACATCGGTATTCACAAGAAAATATAGATAGCGGCATTGCATTGTATAAATCATCAGTATTACAATTATACTAAAAATAAGTACATATAAAAAGAGATAGGCCAGCGGTTGGCATCTAAGCAGCCAAAAAAATCACATTAAGCTAGCTGTTTATAACATGTCATTAGGTAAAGTTAATGATAAATAAACAATAGTTCCAGTTTTAATTTAAATGTTAGCTACTGAAAATACACAACCACTATAATAATGTAGTAGTAATATAAAATGTTTGTTTATTGAAATTAACAATTATTGATGAAAGGTGACTTCTTGAACAGTTACTGCAATGGGTTCCAAACCTTTCGTACATCGCTCTTATACCCCCCCCCCGTTCTTATAAAAAAAAAGTTGCTAAACCCTTAATTGTTTAACAATTTAATTTAATTTTAGATATATTAAATGATATTAAAATTCAATTATCAGACCTCAAATTAATATGCATTATTATGCAAAAAATATAAATAAAAAATAATTATTTATAAGGCGCATTTTACCGGTTGGTAATCACGGAGTTATGGTTTTAACAATAATCAAAATGCATTATATATATTATTACTACAATTTAGTCTTATATATTATTTCTAATTGATAGTAGGGGTTACGTTTCGAATGCA